CGACCGCCAGTTATCAATTCTACCCCCTAAAACTAGACCATAAGTTCCTCAAAGATAAGGACTGTATTTATTCGATCATTACTATAAATCTAGTAGCACTTAGCACAGTGACGACATGCAGTAAGCATTCAATGCTTACAACTTTGCTGGTGGGGTGGAAAAAAAGGGACAAAGAAAGGGAGTGGATAAAGAATTAAATAAACCAAAGTCTGAGAACAAACTGTAAAAACGATTTTAGTATCACCAATGTAAAGTTTGACTATAACTACTAATGATATTTCTTCTGACATATATATATATATATGGATCTATATGGGGATACACACACACACACATGTATGTATATATATGGACATACATATATATCCATGTATATGGAAATATATAGGGGATATATATATCCATCAAAGGCACATGATCCTGGCTAATATCCTGTACCTGCACTTAGTATATAATTCAAGACTCTGAGACTCAAGAGGAGAATCCATCCCAAATCAGGACCAAATCCTCAATTAAAACTTCATTCATGAGGCGCCTGGGTGGCTCAATGGGTTAACCTCTGCCTTAAGCTCAGGTCATGATCTCAAGGTCCTGGGATCGAGCCCCGCATCAGGCTCTCTGCTCAGCAGGAAGCCTGCTTCCCCATCTCTCTCTCTGCCTGCCTCTCTGCCTGCTTGTGATCTCTCTGTGAAATAAATAAATAAAATCTTTTTTTAAAAAAAAGTTCATTCACTTCCAAGTTTTATGAAAAAATAAAAGGTATTATTCTTTTTTTTTTTTTTAAGATTTTATTTACTTGTCAGAGAGTGCACCAGCAGGGGGAGTGGCAGGCAGAGGAAGAAGCAGGCTCCCGCTGATCAGAGAGCCTGATGTGGGACTTGATCCCAGGATCCTGGGATCATGACCTGAGCCAAAGGCAGACGCTTAACCCACTGAGCCACCTAGGCATCCCTAAAAGGCATTATTCTTATTCTTATTGTAAAAGTAATAGAAGTACTTTAAGGAAAACTGGTAAAATAAAGGAAAGTGGAATTTAACATTATCATATTTCAACCATGCAAAGACAAACACTATTAACATTTTATATGTTAAATTCATACCAAATTTTAATATTCCTATTAGTACAACTTTTTATAATGCTATAAGGGGCTCATGGACAACTAAAATGAAAAAAAAAAATAGAGTAATTCCAACTATGCTTAATGAGGGAAGAGTTTCCAAACGAAACTCTCATGAGATTATGAGCTCTTTAAGGAAAGATACCTTGTTCTAGTCTTCTTTCTTAAGGCCCAGCCATGGGATCAAGCCCTGTGTATACTATTCACTCTGTAAATGTTCACTGAATATACATCTAGAAAGAGAGGGCCATCCGCAAACCTCTCTTGCTGGGACTCTTCCTTCTCTTCCAAACTCCTTCCTGATGATCTTCATTCTCTATCATTCACTGCTGAATACTTCAACTATAGTAACGATAAAGATCTTGCTGTAGCCTAAAAGCAAATCTGTTTTATTCTTCCCTAAGTTCCATCGTATCATTTCCTTCTTCACTTAGCTAAGTTCTAGTCATTCCTTGCAATTCCCCTCAGAAGTCATGTTCTTCAAGAGGTCTCCCCTGATGCTATTTTGCCCCTCCCAGGCTTAGCTAAGTGCTAATGTTCTGGGCTCCCATCATACTCAGTGCAAGCATCTAACACTGCAATTGCCATGGAACGTGAAAATTAGCCACTTATACATACTGCTCACTCACACACCATAAGTTCTTTGAGATTTCTATCTTCATATTCATAAATACTAGCACAGATTCAGTAAATAGTTATGGAATGAATGAAAAAATGAACATACTCATTCTATTTTTGTTCTAGTTTTTCTCTCTTTAATTTGCCTGTTTGTTTAATCAGCTGTTCACTCACAATTTTAATTATCTTAAAAAAACCAATAAACAAAACCCTGTCCTGGCCAACAGAAATCAGATATAAAAATAGCAAACATCAAGATCTGTTTATTCATGTAACCAAAAAGTATCCCTTTCTAATTTCTTACGACTAATAATCAATAAACACTCAACAACCACCAATTTCTCTTAAGGTCCTCTACATCAGATCACATTTTAATAATCACTCTTTCACAACCACATTTAATACTTATTTCTACTCTTCCTTCTCCCTGGAAAGATAGAAAGTAGGTCCTGCCAACGCTTTTTCTAATGGTGTCATCAGCACTACAGATAAAGGGCTGGTATTCAAGATCGATAAAGAACTTCTCAAACTTGACACCCGAAAAACAAACAACCCAGTCAAGAAATGGGCAGAAGACACAAGCACACATTTCTCCAAAGAAGGCATACAAATGGCTAACAGACACATGAAAAAATGTTCAATATCATTAGCCATCAGGGAGATTCAAATCAAAACCACACTGAGATACAGCTTATATCAGTTAGAATGGCAAAAATTTCAAGGCAGGAAGCAACAAATATTGGTGACGTGTGGAGAAAGGGGAACCCTATTACACTGTTGGTGGGAATGCAAGTTGGTACAGCCACTCTGGAAAACAGTGTGGAGATTCCTCAAAAAGTTAAAAATAGAGCTACCCTATGACGCAGCAATTGCACTAGTGATTATTTACCTCAAAGATACAGATACAGTGAAAAGAAGGGCCACATGCACCCCAATGTTCATAGCAGTGAAGTCCACAATAGCCAAACTGTGGAAGGAGCTGAGATGCTCTTCAACAGAAGAATGGATAAAGAAGATGTGGTCCATATATACAATGGAATATTCTCGGCCATCAGAAAGGATTAATATGAAACATTTGCACCAACATGGATGGAACTGGAGGTGATTACACTGAGTGAAATAAGTCAGAGAAAGTCAATTATCATATGACTTCACTTATTTGTGGAACTATATAAGGAAAGGCATGGAAAACACTAGGAGATGGAGGGAAAAATGAATGGGGGGGGATTGGAGTGGGAGACGGACCATGAGAGACTATGAACTCTGGGATAAACAATCTGAGGGTTTCAGAGGGGAGGGGTGTGAGGGGATGTGTTAGCGCAGTGATGGGTATGAAGGTGGGCAAGGATTGCATGGAGCACTGGTTGTTATGTGCAAACAATGGCTCATGGAACACTCCATCAAACACTAATGATGTACTGTATGGTGACTAACATGACAAAATAATAATTAAAAATAACAATGGTGTCATCAGGCCTGCTCGTAACTGCTTCTGGAGCCCCTACCTTTAATCTCTTCCGGTTTAGCTCGCTCTTGTTGCATCAAGAGCCTGACTCCATGTGCTCACAATCAAGCTAAGTACGGGGAAGTACTGTTTCCCACCACCTGGAATTCCGCTCACACAGAACCCACAGTTTTAGCCCGGCCTTTAGGGCCATCCATCCCACACTCATCTCTACAGCATCTGCTACCTTATTTCCTCTGTCTAAAAAAACTGATTTCCTTGTGCTTTCAGGTATGCACTTCCTATTGAGCGAAGCAAATATCCTTGCTGTACAGCACAGCAAGTTTGTAAATTCCTTCACTGCAGCCTTTGCACATGCTTCAGAACCCTCCCCTTTCTCTTCCTGCCCTCACTCGTCCTTAAAATCCCTACGGCACAACTCTCTTCCTCTGAGTAAGTTTTCCCAATTTTCCCCAGGTCGCATCATTTGCTCCTTTTACTAAACAATCCTTCAACATTTACGTTTTACTTGAACTAATAATATTTTAGTCCTTATCGTAAGTTTCCCTGCAAGTGTTCTAAAAGATCGTTACGCGCGTGCTCTTCAGTCTCTGAGAACAGGTGTGCCGCTCTCCCCTACAGAGCTTACTCCGGCAGCAAGCACTCACACGAGCTGATTTCTTAAAAGGTGTCGTTACTTACTACCCACCAACTGCAGGAACTCCACAAATGCTGCTGGACTAAGTAAACTGGACACTCATATCCAACAAACTATTTACAAGAGATAGTAAAATAAAGAAAAGAGAATGAATTTAAATTATAGTTAGGGACAGCTGGGTAGCTCGGCACATTAAGCATCGGACTCGGTTTCAGCTCAGGTCATGATCTCAGGGTCATGAGATCGAGCCCCGGGTCAGCTCCACACTCAGCGTGCAGTATGCTCATCCCTCTCTCTCCCCTTCTGCCTCCCCTGGCTCAAGAGCTCTCTCTCCAATCAATCAATCAATCAATCAATCAAATATTTTTAAAAATTATAGTGTTTAAAATCAGTAATGCTTCCCACACTACTACTCAGCGTTTAACATCTGCAGGGAGATTGCTTATACATATTCTAATGCTACTTTTGCCTTTTAGGTCCATCCCCTTCCTCTTCAGCCCTTTTTCCACCCAATGTCTGTATGAAGAAAACCAGAAGCAAAATGGAAAGCGTACTAGAGAATATCAGGTTTCACGTGAGTGCCAGGGCTCGCATTTACGGTATGAGGCCATCATGTCAATATTCTGTACACTGAGAGCTTTACTTAGAGTCCCCCAATGTCCAAGGATAATTAGTATCTTTGATAATTTCTACCAGAGGGCTTGATAAATTTATTTATCTAGACAATATAGCAAGAAGAAACAATAAAAGAAAGTGCCACAATAAAGCTTTCTGCCCATCCTATAGTGTTACTAGGCTAACAAAAAATTCACTTTTTCTTGGAATATTATATAATAAATTTTTCAAAATGCTATTCTGAATAAAAATTCATCTGATTTAGTCATTTTTATATCAGTTCTTTTAAAGAACAAACTAAAACTATCAAACCTGTTAAGGGAGAGGGTGGTGGGGTTATGGACATTGGGGAGGGTTATGTGCTATGGTGAGTGCTGTGAAGTGTGTAAACCTGGCGATTCACAGACCTGTACCTCTGGGGCTAAAAATACATTATATGTTTAAAAAAAATAAAAAAATTTAAAAACAAAAACAAACAAAAAGACCTGTTAAGATACTTAGCTAGTGAATAAAACAAGCTTGATTAGTATTTTAAACACTAACTTACAGGATCAGCAGGTCCACAGAATTCTCGAAATGTCTTTGTAGGATTATTCTGTTGAATCTCCATTGCTACACAAGGGCCGGAACACACTTCTGTCACCATCTCCTATGATGTACAATATAAAGGAACATGTAAAAATCAGTAAAAATTAATAATCTTTTATTCATCCTCCTTTAATTCCATCACTATTCCAAATCTTAAAATCTTAGTTATCTTTGAATCCTCCTGGCCCCACATGCCAAGGGGCTCCCCAATCCTGTCCATTTCTCCTGCATAAATGTGTTTTAGAAACGTTCCCTCGTCCAGCTCCTACCACTGCGTCACGTTAATGCACTTTCACTCGTGAAATGAGCATCTAATACATGTTCCTTTTAAAGGCCTCTCCTCTTACACAAAGTCCTATCAAATGAACATTTCTAAAGATATAAATTTTGAAGTGTTTCTTCCAAAGACACTTTTAAAATCATAATCATTTTCAGAAATGAAGAAAACAGGGACCAGATTCTCTCACACTGAACACCTAGAAATGAGACAGTATGTATGAAACAACAGGTCTCAAACAGCAGCACAGCATTATGATTCCTGATGGAAGAGAACCAAACAAAGGAAGCCATACGACTGCCCCATCTTACTCCCTGGAAGAATTTTCCAGACAACGGGACACAGACAGGAAACACAACACAGCCCAACACCCTCATTGAGCAGAAGAAACAAAGACAGGAGTTCAGGGAGACCCTGTCGCTCTAGCTACATTCTAATGTGCGAGACAGATTACAAGAGGACATGAGAGAACCCGGGGAAAGTAAGCTACGGCGATCTGCAGAGAAGTTCACATAAGTCTCTGGCTAGGAGTCTGTATACGTGCGGAAGAAACTACTCAAAGCCAAGAAGAGCACTGCCAGAAGCAGTTAAGTGAAACCGTTCAGAGAGAGAGCACGAGGCTGAGAAGACTCTGCACTTCCACTAGCGGGAGCGGGAAGCCCTGATGCGTGCGATACGTGCCTGATGCACACAGTACACCAGGTGGAGCCTCCAGAAGGGCACTGCACTGTAAGACTTGGCCTTCTGTACCGAGTGCTCTGTACCCCTCCTGCAAAGCCTCAAAGCAAGACTTCGAAAGATCAAACTGATCCCAATAACTTCAGTGAGGGCCAAAATGATGGCAAAAACTCTTCAAATCAACATGACATACATACCACGTAACATCATAAATTTCACATTATCCAGAATCCAATAAAAATTACTAGGCATGCAAAGAAATAGGAAAATATGAACCATCACTAGAAGAAAACTCAATAAATTGATACAGATGTAGCAATGGCAGAGTGATATTGGCTACACAGAATGTTAAAACAGGCTATATATGCAAGTTAGAGGAAGAAAACATGGACACGATGCAGAGAAAATCAATGATACTAAAAAGACTCAAAGATAAATAAATAAATAAAATCTTCTAAAAAATAAAAATAAATAATGGGGCATCGTTATGGAACTTCTAGTGATGAAAACTACATCCGAATTAAATACACTGGATGGGATGAGCAAAACAAAATACCGCAGAAGGACAATAATATTGAAGACATGAAATACCAATTACTCAAAAGCAAGCACAGAGAAAGAGTAAATAAAAATGTCCCATGGGAATTGTTTCTCCAACGACAAGCTGTCTAATATGTACATAATTGGGAGTCCCAGAAAAAGAAAAAAGGGGTGAGGAACAGATAAGGATTCCAAGAATTTGATAAAACGCATAGCCAACAGATCCAACAGAGTCCAAGGAGAATAAATGCAGAGTACGGTGAGCCAATAATTAATCTCGCTAAAACCAAAAAACCCTAATAACAAAAATCCCTTAAAATAACCCTCTGCAAAAAAAGAAAACATCAAACAGTAGAAGAAAGATGTAAATTACAACAACAAAAATTTGTCAATCTATAATTCTATACCCAGGTAGAAAGGTTTTTGTTTGTTTGCTTGTTTTTTGAGAGAGAGAGGGAAAAGGGCAGGGAGGGGAAGAGAGAAAGGGTGAGGGAAAGAAACTTAAGCAGGTTCCACGCCCAGAGCAGAGCCCGATGCAGGGCTCAACGTCACAACCCTGGGATCATGACTGGAGCTGGAACAAAAGTTGGACACTTAACCAACTGAGCCGCCCAGGCTCCCTGGAAGATATTTTCCACAAATGAAGGAAAAATAACTTTTTCAGACAGACAAAATGTGAGAGAATTCACTATCAGCAGCAAAATGTTAAAGGAAGTTCCTCAGACAGAAGGAAAAAAAAGTACCAGATGAAAATAGGGATCTAAACAAAACAATGGTAAACATGTGGGTAAATATAAAATACATTTTATTAGCTGGTGTGAAAGATAATTATTTAAAGCAAAAATATTAAAAACGCATTAGAGGGTTTAAAATATAAATAGAAATGAAAACATGTGACAACCATGGCACATACAGAGGGGGACCTGGAAGAAGGAAACTCTTTGAAGGTTCCTAGCTATATGAGAAGCGGTATGATGAAAAACACGATCAAAGAAAAGTGGCTCTCACAGTGTCTGGGACACACAACGAATGTTCTTTTCTTCCGTACATGGGGGAAAAATACTTCAGGAAGAAGTGAAAATAAACACCGAGACCTTGAGGCGGAAGTGGAGTTGTGTGTATGAAGATCCGCACAGGAGGAGGTCTCGGGAGCCAAAGCGAGACCACAGGAAAGCAGTGAGAGAGGGGCTCAGACCCCGCAGGGACATGTGAGCCACTCCAATGACTTTGGAGAGTTTACGATACACAATGACCAAGCAAAATAAAGGTAATTTATTACAGAACAATATTTAAATATCCATTGGAACTCAGTCATCACACCTAACAGAAATGCCAGAAGTTAAAAGAGGAAGGAGGGGCGCCTGGGTGGCTCAGTTGGTTAAGCGACTGCCTTCGGCTCAGGTCATGATCCTGGAGTCCCGGGATCGAGTCCCACATCAGGCTCCCAGCTCCATGGGGAGTCTGCTTCTCCCTCTGACCTTCTCCTTGCCATGGTCTCTCTCTTCTCTCAAATAAATAAATAAAATGTTTAAAAAAAAAAAAAAAAAGAGGAAGGAAAGAGCGTCACGATTAATACACCACACAGAACCCTACTCATTAGAATTCCTAAAGGTATCTCCCTGAAGTCACTTTGCTACTTTGCAAAGGTCATATGTAATTGATTTCTTATGGATAATTATGTTGAGTCTGATTTCCTGTCTCATGACACTGAAGTACTGCCCACACATAAATGTCAAAAGCCGAGTTCTCAGTAGGGGCAAAAGGCAGCAGGAACCTGACATCCAAAAAGAGAGGGTGAATTCTGCCTGCCTTTCTTTCTTTTGCCTCTCTGCTTGTCTTTCAGGGTTAATCAAAAATACCATTAAAAATACAGACATAAAGGGCTATGCAAATGTACAAAATGGACAGAAAAAAACATGTCGGCAAAAGGACTCCATCAAGGTGCGCCTGGGTGGCTCAGTGGGTTAAGCCTCTGCCTTCGGCTCAGGTCATGATCTCAGGGTCCTGGGATCAAGCCCTGCATCAGGCTCTCTGCTCAGCAGGGAGCCTGCTTCCTCCTCTCCCTCCCTCTGCCTGCCTCTCTGCCTACTTGTGATCTCTCTCTCTATCAAATAAATTAATTAATAAAAAAAATCAGAGTAAGAATCAAATCACATGTTTTTGTCCCTTTAGACTATGTTGCCTCTTCAGATGATTTCACAGGGTCTTCTTCTTGAATTAGACCGTATGCAGTGTTTAAATATTTACCTATTCCTTGAGCTTAAACTCGAGTCCTGAATATCAACTGTCCTGAGAAGTAAGAGGCCTTCTGGGAAATACAATGGTCACAATAGAAGTGAGAACCAGTACCTGCTACCTGACTTTTGGTGTCCCCAACGAACCACTGACGGAGACTTCAACCGCATGTACGTGCAGTGTGTGATACAGATCCTCACGCAACTTCCTCTGAACAAAACCGAATTATAAATGTGAAAAGCACTTTTAAAAGCACTAGAATAAGAATATTCATAAGAATATTAGTTACTTCAACAAAATACTACTGGGATAAAAACATTCTTATTTCCCTCTAGAGAAAATTCTCAAAGAAACTTTCCTTAGTTTCAATAGAGTTTTATATCATATAAACACAGAACATCTCATAAAGGTACCTAGGTAATGTTCTGGTTCACGTACATAGTCTGTTCTACCATTAGCAGAATACGCTAAACCAATCATGATTTGGAATATTTGTTTTACACTGAAAAAACCATTTCAAGCTGAATAAAAAATGATAAGCATTCCTAAATATGGCTGACAAGGCTAACACTGAAATACTGTAGCTTTTTTCTTCCCAAACAGCCCATATACTCTGTTATGAGTATCACGAGATTTAAACAGTGGTTCCAGAGACTGTCTTACTGAGAGTATCAGACAGAAGAAAGCACATCAGCACCATTCACTCTGGCACAGCCTGACATTACAGTGTAACATTGCTACTGTCATTCAAATCCCTGATTTCTTAGGGAAAACGACACATCTACCCAGTGATGTTTTTGTTTTTACTCTAGAATCCCCCAAATCAAAAGAAAAAAAACCCTAAGATTAAATAAATATTACATAAAAATAAATTGCATGTATAGTACTTTAAAGCACAACATAGGACACATTAAGTCAGAGATAAGGGTTTTTTTTAAAGTTATTTTCCAAAAGGAATTATGGCCCACCTCAGATGTGTGCACAACACTAGTGCCCTCAACTATCTGTTACCAAATTCAATACCACGTGATATGGCGTGAAAATATAAGTGGATGATCAAAAGATACGTCTCCATGGTTTACCTTACGTGCAGTAGAGCTATAATATAACCTGAACGGAGGACAGTAACAGTTTTCAACCAAATTTTTTAAGGTAAAATTGAACAAATAAAAGAAGGAACATATATAAAAGAGAGATTTAAGAAATGGAGAATGTCTGTCACTGATTGAATGAAGAGATAACACATTTTAAAATTCTTCCAGTTTAAGAAAAGGCATAACTCTAAAATGAAGCAGCTCATAAGATGAAGGTTCGGGAAGCTGTAACAGAAGGAAACCACCCCAGTTCCTCTAAATAAAGCTGGAAATCGCGAGTATGCCGAACATGAAAAAGATGTCACAGTCTTAACTTTGTAGGACTAAATAAGACAAAGGCTCAGGCCAGTTCTCAGACCAGTGCATTTGTCCTTTCTAAGGAAGGCTGAAAGGAAAAGTCATAGAGAAGTGGGAAGGAGAATCTAGTCTCATTGTCAAGAACAATTAACTTTATGAAAAAAAAAAAAGAAGAAGAAGTCAAATCTGTCAAAAATGTAGATGAGAAGGCAGCCCACCAGCACAAAGGTATCTAAGATACTTTTATAAAGAGGGGGAAGGAAACTAATTTTGATCAAATATCTACTATGTTTTATTTTAAGGAACAATATTTGGCTTATTTGAATATAGTCATTTGTTTTCAAGAACATATTTCATTGCCTTCTGACCAATTCCTTCTAAATCTTATTTCTTCAGACTCAGTCACATTTTCAGATGATTCTACCTGCATTTATATCATTAAAGTAGACATTAAATGCTGCTATGCTGTTATACTGTAATTATTCACTTTTAAGTTTCTAAGGCATTTTGGAGAGTCTTCCACCCTGAGAATATGACAAACTTCCACAGAGACTATCCAAATGTGTCAATATCCCAGCAATTTTTTTTGCACTGTGGTATGTTTTTGTTTCACAAATGAAACAATAAGATTTTTAAAAACTGATCCAGTGGCTCTCAGAGATAAGAGATAAGAACGCCTCAGTCACTAGGTACGATCAGACGGCAACTGGCAGACCTGTGACTACTTTCATGATTATAAATTATACTGAGATGCCCCAGATTTAAGATGCACAAACTGTCTTCGGTACCAGTGCTTGACATTTACTTTGATACTTACATTATACTCAGACACCACTCCTTTATAAACTTCATAAAACTCTTCAACGTTAACTCGATCCATGCTGAACTGGATTAAAACAAAACAAAACTTATCAAGCCAACCACCAAAGAACATAAATGAACCACACTCAGCATTTATGATCCCTTGGATATATTTTCTTTACTTTAAAATATAAACGTTGCACAAATTAAGTACTCAAAAAAGTGTTGTTAGAGGCACCTGGGTGGCTCAGTAGGTTAAGCGTCTGCCTTCGGCTGGGGTCATGGTCCCAGGGTCCTGGGATCGAGCCCTGCATCAGGCTCTCTGCTTGGACGGGGAGCCTGCTTCCCCCCCGCCCTGCCTCACTGCCTACTTGTGATCTCTGTCTGTCAAATAAATAGATAAACTCTTAAAAAAAAAGAAAAAGAAAAAAGAAAAAGTGTTGTTAAAGATCAACTCATTAGTAAAAATAATGGGTAACACTGACTGAGTACTTAACGCATCAAGCACTGTTCTAGGACCTGTACATGCCTCATCTCATTTACTCCTCACAACAACCCCATGACCTAAGTTATGTAGCACAAGGCTATGTAACTGTCAGATCTGTGTTCTGTCTCAATCAATCTGACCCCATGGTCATGCTCTTAGCCACTACATTATACCTCTCCTCTTTGAATAAAACTTCATTCTTCACACATGAAAAATTTAGATGCAATGTCATGTTGTTTACTGATAGATTAGTGGCCCAAGAAATATTACTAATGAAAAGTACTTCAGCTTTTGTAACAGCCAAAAATAATACCCTTTTCCTCCCAAGCATTCAGAAAAATCCCTAGTCTGGTTCACAGTAAAGCATTTACACAAATTGTCTGGAAACCCAAATTCAAGAAGAATAGCAAGAGTATGCTTGTAAGATAAACCTATAAAGACTCTTATCCAGGCTGGATTCAAATTGGTTAAAAATAAAATTGCACTGGGGTGCCTGGGTGGCTCAGTGGGTTAAGCCTCTGCCTTAAGCTCAGGTCATGATCTCAGGGTCCTGGGATCGAGCCCCGCATCGGGCTCCACGCTCAGCGGGGAGCCTGCTTCCCCTTCTCTGTCTGCCTGCCTCTCTGCTTACTTGTAATGTCTCTCTGTCAAATAAATAAATAAAATCTTTTAATAAATAATAATAAATAAAATTACATTAAGTTCTAGGGTCTCAAGAACTAATAAGACCTCAAATTTCTGAAAAAAATAGCCTCTGAAAAAAAGTATTTTGTCCCCTATTTTGTTTCTTTATTGTCACCAGAAATGAAGATCATGGAGAAATTTTTGCCTACCCGGGAAATAATTCAAACTGGGAGGATTTATTTCATAGGCAACGTAGCTATTACAAGCAGTGAATTTTGTTTGATTTCAGTGTTTTATCCTACAGTCCCACAACCTGCTGTATATTTTATATAACAAAATAACAGAATATATAACTTATTATGTACTTATAATTTGCCCTGAAAATTCTAGAAGGCATTGCCTAAGGTTATTTCATTTAACTCCTAAAACAATCCACTGAGGTAAATAAGAGCATTCTCACTGGCCAGCAGACTCATTAAGTGTAGAGGACAGCTGACCTGCAATTCAGAAATAGAACTTCTTGACTCCAAAACTGAATGACTGTGATTGCCACTAAACTATCATGCCTTCCTCATAGGTTCAATCAATCCTTTTCTTAATTATTATTGTTGTTTTCACCAAGCACGTACTCTAGCCAACTATGCTAGGTCACAGGCCTAGAGTCAGATCAATGTTTAAATCTAAAATTTCTACAAAACACACATTTTTAAAGCAGGCTTAGGTCCTACAATCCTATGAATACATCACGAGGCTAATACTTTCAGAACGTTTTAGCTAACAATTCTTTCTAATCTTAGGCAAGATTCTTCAAGTATCACCTTTCTCATTAGTCTCCAAGTTTTGCCTGATGACTCTGCAAACTAGCTGATATTTCTGGCCCTTTTTTGGTCTGCGGGCATTCCGACAAATTAGGGACACAAAACTGTCAGAATCCCAGTTACTGCCCCGACCCCTGACTCTGGATGTTCTAAGACTTAGCAGAAATCAAAAGCAGCTCCTGTTCAGGAAAAGAATGTATAAATTACATTGGTAAGAAGAATCTCAGCTCCAAAGTCAGTATTTCATTATCAAAATAGCATAAACTTGCTGGTCTTCACACATTATAAAATCCAAATTGTTTATCTGATTCCTGTAACAACTTGTACCCCGTTTTTTGTCAAGTGCACCAGTAAGTACAACACAAAGGTATGAGCTCGGCAGAAGTGGGCATTGTTTCCTCAGTGAAGGGTTTCCTATAAACGCATCCACTAGGCAGTTCTCAACAGTAGTGGGCTTTGGAGGTCAAGGGTTGTGACTGTCAGAGTCTGAAATGTGCTAATTCCAAAGAAGGTTCTGAGGGGAAACTCCAGAAACCAGCAAAAGGCGCTGGTTAAGGGAAAAATCTCAACTGATTCTTTCTCCATGCTCCTCTTAGTCACCGAACAACAAGAGAGCTTGGTATTAACTACTCAACCTAATTCTATTTTTTGTTTGTAGGAACTAAATACATTGTTCCTATCCATATTTATATCGCAACCAAAGTCACCAGAACTGTATAAACCTGTTTTATAACCTTGAATTAGGCGTACCATTTGAATTTGTTTCCTCAATGAAAGATTATATGGGTAAAATAATTTCAACATTTTTAATTATAAGGTTATCAAGGTCAGGAACTATACCTTTGTATTTTTAATGTGTTGAGTTCACAAGTACATAGAGAAAATGCAATACAAAATATTAAAAAAAGAAGTCTATCAATAGATTATGAGTTACTGCAAACTACCTACCATCTGCATAGCTGAGATTTCAAAACCTGCATCCCGGATAGCCATGAGGATCTTTCCCAGCAGTCCTGAAAATACAGAACAAATGGATGCAAAAATACAAAATTGCCAAGGCATTTTCATTTATTAGAATTGCAAATTTTCTCCCTCAAAGTTATTTGCTTACACTCTACAGGAGAAATCACATATTTCGCCAAGGGAAACTAAATCCCTACCATCAAGCATCATCGGTAATCATTTATTTCACTTAGTAAGTGCTTCAGGAATATCAACAATGATCCTGAAGATTATGCAAAAAGCCTTTAAGATACTATTTTCCCTTAAAGCCCCTGAAGTCAAATGATGTAGAGAACATGCAAATTACCAAAAAAATGAAATGCCAAAGTACTCGATATAGGAGTTCCAAGGATGAGTTCAAAGGAGAAAAATCAAATGATAACTGAAGGGATGGCAGAAGCTTTAAGGGGAAATGAGAGCATGAAATGGTACTGAAAGCCTGTAGATAGGTGGGAGCATATGGGGACACAGGTATAAAAGGACAGAAGGCACAGGTCTGAGAAAATGTGAGCATGTTCATAGGACAGTAAGGCAGAAAAGAAGTTTAAAAAAAAAAAAAAAAAAACAGGCGCCTGGGTGGCTCAGTTGGTTAAGCGACTGCCTTAAGCTCAGGTCATGATTCTGGAGTCTCAGAATCGAGTCCGCCTATGGGCTCCCAGCTCCGTGGGGAGTCTGTTTCTCCCTCTGACCTTCTCCCCTCTCATGCTCTCTCTCAGTCTCTCTCTCAAATAAATAAAATCTTAAAAAAAAAAAAACAGCTGAAAAGGAAAAGAGACTTGATCCAAATTAATGAAGGTCTTGGATATCAACATGAGGAATTTGGTCCTTATCCCACAGATCAGTGCTTTTTATAATAGGGCCTGCAGATCCTGAGAATCTGGGACTGATTCTGAGATTCCATTACTTTAGTATAAAAATATTCTAAGCTTTTTTTCACGTCAACTAAAATTCTCTCTCTCTCTCTCTTTCTCACACACACACACACACACACACACACACCCTCATATATTTTGGATGATCTGGATGTTTGTTTGGCACCCAAGTCCCCAGGGGTTGTGCGCTGTTTTACTATTTCACTGCAGCTAGGTAGTGCTCTCATAATTGTAGCAGGTTGAGGAATGGAGAAAAAAAGACAATTAGAGACCTAGTTCTGAAGTGACATTTGTACCAAGTGAAGGCGAAATGATACCAGAGCATCCTGTAGAAACAAACATTCTCAGAAGTCTGAAGAGTAGAACAGGCCCACAGCCCTCTGTACCATATCCATGACCTGGTGACTGAATTTCATCAAACATCCTTTATCTTATCAATGTTGTTAAATTTTATTCATTTTATAGTCTTGTTGTAATGAATGTGTAAATTCCTTTAGGTATACAGTTGCATGTGCAAAGGTTTATTTTTAGTGTTATATTGGGACATATTTAGGTTGCATTATAATTATAATAATTCACGTCTACACTGCGGGCCCATCAAGAGTATTTTTCCTCCAAAGGAAACACTGCCAGAAGAAACGGAAGCCACTGAAAACGTTGAGCAAAACACAGGACAAAATAGCGTTTTAGGAGGAATATTGATGTAATAATGACAGACAATCTGGTCTGCAAAAAAGGAATAAAAGAGTAGCAAAGGCCTTTGAAACCATCCAATAGGCTCACAGGACTTAGATGGCAGCACTAGAGAAAGAAGTAATGAACATAAGATATTTCTGAACAAGAACAGGACTAAACTGGACACAGTGTGAAAATGAGGGAATATAGGTTCTGAGTCCAAGTAACTGAAGATGGACAGCATCTTTAAGAAGAAAACAACTTTGCATGGAGCACTGGGTGTGGTGCAGAAACAATGAATTCTGTTGCGCTGAAAAGAAATTAAAAAAAAAAAGAAGAAGAAGAAGAAGAAAACAACTAATGGAAACAAATTGATTAATCTCTTGGGGAAGGTCGTCAAGATGGCATGACTGCCGGTTGACCAGTGAGCTGGACACAGACACTGGAGGGCTCCCCACACCCTTCCCTGCCCTTGGAATGTGGGTTCTGCTCGCCTTTCCCGCCCCCAGAGGCTGCTCTGAGGACAGAGTCTTGAGATAATGACGAACGGTACTGCACAGGATGTGTGACTGAACCCAGACCGCTACAGAAACTTTTAAGACTTGGCAGGTGGGTGCGGGAACCCACTTATCTTGCTGTTGTCCAAGACAAGCCTGGATGTAAGTTTCCTTGCTTATAAAACGGCCCACTCACTACCAACCTGCAGTGACCTTTCTGTTACTCCAATCTGAGTTCAGGGCCAGTTTCAGATTATATTCACAAAGCTTCCAAAGAGGTTATGAGCCAACAATTAAGGAAAAGGGGAATTATTTTGAACATAGAAAAAGAATTTTAGAACAGAACACTGATCCGTATCTGAGAAGAGAGCATATCCAATGGCTAAAAACGATTGATGAATGAGTGAATAAAGTCCCTACACAACACCGGTGATAAGGGACTGCATTCCAACAGCGAGACAGGTAGAGGGCTAGACTGGGGCATACGGACAGGTTAGAGCTGAAATGTGCAAACAGAAGAGGATAAAAGATTTTTTGTTTGACAAAAAGAAGAGGAAAGGCAAACAAAAACAAAAATAAAACCTGGTAGGAATGAGTTTTGAGAAAATATCTAAAGTTTGGAAATTAAGAATGAAAATGAATAAAGAAAGATACATAAAGAGAGATGTACAGGAAAATAAAGAAGAAAATTATTTCAATAGGGAAAATTCTTAGAACACAGGGATATTCAAGAACTAAAGGAGATTAAGGACCTGAGGAATGCAGATAAAGCCTTCAGCATTAGCAGGACGGTATGCTGACCTTAAAGACATTTGAGAAAGTTGTAGCAACAGAGTGTTAGGAAAAAGAAGTTAGATAACCCACTAAAAATCTGTACCGAAGACTCAGATGATAATGGATATAAGAATGTTAACCAAAATTCCAAGTCTTTAATCAACACAAAAAATATTAGTTAGGAAAGAAAGAAGTAAATTAATAATTACTGAGGACTGGACTCCTTAATATGAATTTATACCATTTATCAACACTCTTAAACAGAGGCTACTATTACACTATAAAGATGAGAATATATCAGGTTTTTGAAGAGTAGATAACTTGCCTGAAATCATAAAGTAGTTCATCTCCAAATCTCTTATCGTTCTACAAGTTTAATAAGAAAAAAGAAATGCATACATGGAAGTCAGACACGTAAAATTCACGGGACAATATAACTCCCTAGGCAAGGACCATAATCATTTTAGTTCTCACCGTATCTCCAGTGCCTAGTATGGTCTTACCACATAGCAGGTGCTAACAAATACTGTTCACTGAATTAAGAAATAACCAACAAGACATGCAATCAGAGCTCTGCTGCATGCGAACCCAGGAAACTCCAAGGCCCTACGGAGCACAGTTTGAAAATACTTGCAAATTACAAGGGGTAACTAAAGTTAGAGAGAGGGAAAGGATCCTTGAAAAATGTTGACTTAGTGATCTGAGGGACAAAAGTTCATACTTACTTCATGCCATATATAAACAGTAATCCAAAATGAAGTTAAGGTAAACACAAAAGAAAAAAATTGTTTACAGAAATATATTGATGGCTATTTTCTTCTCACGATAAAGGTAGCCTTTTTAAATATAAAAGGCAAAAAGAGAGAGAGAGAGAGAGAGAGAGATGAGAGTTCTGTTTTTGCTATAACAGAAATTCCTATTGGAATAATCTTCCCTCAGATAATAACTATAATAAACTCCAGAAAAAAAAAAGAAAACAAACATAAAAATACAACCACCTGGAGGCACTGAGTGGTTCCTGATTTTGCAATGGTCAGCTTAATGGGAAGCCACAGTCGGTACTAAAACCGACAGAAAGCCCAAAGAATTAGCAAACTTAAAGAACTAGAAGACAAGGTTTAGGCAACCATGGACACTGGAAAGTGAGCAGACAGATAATCCCAGAAAAAAAGAAAATCCAGAGAGGAATGTCTGAATTCTGTGTATAAACATTGCTCAAATTTTGGGAAAACAAGCATTTATACACAGAGCGGACTCCCTGAAGCCCAGCTAAGATGAAAAGAACTGAATGGGGCTTTGATTTACTACCCACCAAAGTAGAAACAGAGATTGCCTAATCAATTCAGCAAGTTTACTGGCTGCACTAAAAATATCAGTATATCTTTGAAGAAGATGACAACATCCAGAATTTTGTAATATCTCATTCACAAGATTTAGGGTACAATCCAAAATTATTTGACATAATGAGAACACAGAAAAACACAACCTATTCCCAAGACAAAAGAGACTCAATGAAGACCAACCTTGGATGACCCCGATGTTTATAATTAAAAATAAAGATTTTAAAGTAACTATCATAACTGCTTAATGAATAAAAGAAAAATAAACTCAAAACACATAAAAAGATAGGAAATCTCAACAGGGATTAAGAACTCCAAAAAGAATCAAATGAAAAATACAACATCTGTACTACAAAATTCAGAGTAGAGACTTAATAAATTTCAACACAGAATGAGTCAAACAATCTGGAGAGAGATCAACAGAAATTATCTCATTTGAAGAAAGGCTAGACAATTTTTGAAAAACAATGAACAGAGTAGCAGGATGAAATGATACCAGAAAGTCTCATATACATGTAACTGGAGGCTAAAATAAGACAAAATATTTAGAGACCTAATGGCTGAATTTTTTTCCAAATTTGTTGACCTATTGTATCTAAATTTATGCTTTTTACCAATCACAAGCAAATTTTTTTAAATAAAGAAAGGAGGCACATCATCGTCCAGCTGCTAATGATCAAAAATAAACTCTTGAGAGCAGCCAGAGAAAATGACTCATTGTATATAGGGAATAACAATTTCAATGACGGCTGATTTCTCATAAGAAAAGGGGAGGCCAGTAGACAGCTGAACATTTTTAATGTGCTAAAAGAAAAACAAACTGTCAACCTGAAATTCTAGCCCACCACTTCAA